ATTTAAATTTTAAGTATGACCTTTTTGTAGAAAAAGTAGAATGAGAGAAATATCTTATTGTAGAGAATCAACTAATTATAAGTAAAACTAATTAATTTAATATGACTCAATATTACTTGTATAAAATCATTGTTTATACATGAAAATTTTCAATACAATAAATTAATCCAAATTTATTCTTATAATTTATATTATTTATTTCTATCATTTGAATAAACACGTGCCCAAGTTGATAATATGGTAGCATGAGTGGTGTTTGAAAGAAGAAAAAGCAGACTTAGGTGGCGTTTTATGTGACATGAGACGTCGAGAAGGTGTGTCCCTAGTTTCTATGGTGTCATATAGGTGGCTACCATCTCCTACACTATATGTGAGATGTCTTTCTCTTTATCTGCATTTACCAACGAAGAGCCTCATGGAATAAACACCTCACATGTCTATTATCAAAATTCTCTTTTTTTTCTCTCTTTTACCTTCTTCCAAATTTCAGAATTTGAATTAAACCATCAATTTAAAGTAAAATTATGCAACTTAAAATTTAAATAAAATAGCTTATCAAACTTTTCCATCATATTTTAAAGATTTTGATCTATCAAAACAACGACAACACATCAAGTATTTCTATTAAGTGTTTCTTTAATGTTTCAAATCATTTATATTGGTTATTTAAAATAAGAGAATTAATAATTGATTTTTTTAGGAATATTTGTTACAGAAATATAATACCAATAAAACATGAACATATTTACATAAGATATTGTTATTATTTTTAATATAAAACATTAAGATTTATTTGAGTGGATTTGGAGGTAAGTGAAGGTGAATTTAGAAGTAAAGTCTGTGAGAATTAGTAAAGGATTTGATTGATGTGATAAATTAAAAAAATTTACTTTCAAATCCACTTTCACTTACCTCCAAATTCACTCAAATAAACAAAATAAAATTTATCTTCAAATTCTTTCAAATTTATTCAATCACTCTTTCCAAAATTCATTCAAGTGAAAAAACTCTTAATGATTTTCAATACAAAATATTGAATAAGCACTCTTATCAATTAACACTTTGCCGATATCGTAATATGCAATCTCAACCGTTATCGATATGTGATTGTCTAACTGAAATGAAAAACTTTGAAGAAGTTTTTATCTCCGAAGTGGTCGGGAAACATGATTCTCCTCCTTTTCTCAATCAAATATACCGTTTTGAGTGACGATCTCTTCCGAGTGACTGTGAGCGATCCTCCTCCAATAAATTGTCCGGATATTGCATTTATCATGTCTCTAAGTAGACGATCTCTGCTCTGAATTTTACTCCGACTCCCACATCGATATTGCTCTCTCCGCCAAACATGTGTGGAAGCTGTTTTCCGAAAAATTCAAGGTGGGCTGTTAGTACATTTTAACATTTCTCAGTGGATGAATGATTGAAAGACTTTTGTAAGATATCTGGACACACGCGTCCCGTAGACTGGAGTCCAAGGTCCTCTCAAATCACGGGTAACATTTTCTTAAAAGACCTTTTTAGCCTTTTTCCTTTTTCCTTTTTCCTTTTCATTGTTCTTCTTTGTTCTCTCATTTTCGTAAGTAAGATTAGTCTATATTATTTATAATTAGAATGTTAAAACTAAACCAAATAAAAAATATCAAAATTTGATTAAAAAATTGAGAATATGTTAACATTCATTTCTTTTATAGATTTGTATGGATTTAATTTTTTCAGCATATCGATTTATGTGTATTTTAAATTAAAATTAAAAAGGTTAAATCCAACTAATTTATACCTATGAAAATACTCGTATGTTATAAATCAAAGTTAATTAATATGCTATTATTAATCATATATTTTAATTTGATTATTATTTTGTAAATGTAAAATAACATTTTACATAATTATATTATATATATATATATATATATATATATATATATATATGAAAGAATAACTAAACACATGTTTTTTTTTGTTTTTTTTACTTTATTATTCCAAAGTGAATTATTTATATAAAAAATATCTTTAACGAACATGTAAGATTTTTTTCATGTCACTTATTATATTATCAATATGATTTATATTTTTGTATTGATTTGAATATTAAAAAGGTTTTTAGAAGTGTACCTCTGTTTGATACTCGTCTATTATCCATTATTTGGCTTCTAATTTGAGGATCTCTAGCTAAATTATATAATTTAGCTAAATTCTATAGATCGTCAAAGCGTGAAAGATTATTATATTATTAACATAAAAGTTTTACAACCAAAGGGAGAGGATCTCTCACTTATAATTCCTTTTTTACATTAAGAATTGTATTTCTCTTGCTAAAATAATCATTAAAGAAACTTTCTTTTTAAATTTCTAATAATTCATTCAGTGATACCACTTTACATTCACGTAGGAATACATTTATTGTATTTAAATATAATATTATATGTTGAAACTTAATTAATAACCAATAAACACATACGAGAATTTTATCGAAAGTTGGTTTAGTAAGAGGTTTACTTGTATTATATTTATAATATATTTATATTCATTAATATGAATTTTAGATTTAATTATAAGTTTACATAATTTATTTATGAATATGACAGTAATTATATAAAAAAAACTACAAGTTTGAAAAATTTACAATTTATTCAAAATGTTTACTAATTTTATAATAATAAAAACTACATAAGTCGATCCAAATTCAACCATAAAACATTAATTTGAATTAATTCGAATTTTATATTAAATTAAAATCTAACTAAAATAACTTCCACAGATTAAAATTAACTTATATATACATTAATTTCTAGAATAAAATTTCATATGATTTTTACTTTAACTTATTCATAATTTTGTTTCAGTTTATAGAGAAACCTTGTTTTTCTCTTTCTCCTAAAAATATTTATAGAAAAATCATCCATGACATAAGAATTCCACTTTGATTTCATGGCAAATTGACCCATTGTTTTTTTATCCTCTATTCTCCAACTTCAAACGAATCTAAAGCCACAACTCTATATTCGTTGTAAATTAATAAAAATTCGTGAAAGATGAAAAGAAAAAGAAAACGAAAAAAGAATTTACGTATTCGTTTTCGTTTATGTTACATCGTTTTTGTTCCTTGCGAACATTATCTTCCAAATAGAGCCAAATTGAAGTTGAAGAGGCTACCACTTCTTATTTTGACTCGTTTGTTTCATTGAGGACAACTGATATAAATGCAGTTCAATAGCTACACGCTAAAATCGATAAATAATTTAATTATTCTGAACAGAACTACATTTTAAAGTTAGAAACTGAAAATTTATTTTTTTTTCTATTCAATTTACAATTTTAGTTTTGGATTTTAAAAATCCAAGGATAAATGCATGGATATTATTAATCATAATAATAATAATAACACTTAATGAAGATATTAATAAGTCGAATTAGAAACAACAACGGAATGAGATGAGTGTTTGTTTGATTATATTCATCTGTGTTAATGATGTAGAAATTAAAACTTATTTTCTTTCATAATATATCATACGAATATGAATTTTTTTATATCTATGTATGTTTTTATCTTATAACAAATATATTCACACCCATCTAAATACTCATCAAATACTACCCATTGAGAACTCAATGTAAAATAATACCCATCCTCTCTTTTTTCTTCCTAATGCTAGATAAAAAAAATTGTAATTATATAAATTTAAAAATATAACGTCAAATAAATTAAAAACATCTTATAATTTTGACTTAAATACTAATTCAATCCCTATTTTTGTTGAATTTGATATTTTTTTTCAAGTCCTATTTTTTGTCAATTTAATCGTTTTAGTAATGTCATTTAAATATTTAACATCATATTAAACAAATGACACAATCAGGTTTATTTGACATATTAAATAAAATGAAGCTCTTCTCCACATTAGATAAAGTAGGTCATACTAGACAAACTATGTGCTCACTATGTTGTTAACTATTTAAATGATGTTACACAAAATAATTAAATTGATAAAATTTAAAGTTAGAACATGATTAAAAAAACAAAATTAAAATTAAATTTAATAAACTCAATAAAAATAGGGACTAAATTAGAATTTAAGTCTATCATTTTTAATAATAAGCTTAACAAAGACTAATATATATATATATATATATATATAATATATATATATATATTATATATAATATATATTATGCTTAATTTAAAAGGTTTAGACATCTATACTTATATTCCATCCAAATATTTTTAGTGAACATCAATAAAAATAGATATTTTTGCAAATAGATTTATTTAACCTTTCTGGTAGGCTGTAGTAAACATTTTCTTATCTTAGGGTTTATAAAAAAAAATGGTTATGAATTTAAAAAGTAGTAATATGTTTAGCAATAATGAATAAATGAATTAGGAAAAGATGAATGTTGAAAGATGTGGACTTATGTGGACCAAATCCAATGGTATATGCCCAACCAATCAAACGTACCTACAAAAGCCGCCCTTAAAGCCTTCATTTTTTTCATTTCTCAAATTACGCAATTTACAAGATTTTTTTAAAATATCTCACGTATTTTAAACATATTTTTCACATTAACTAACTAAAAAAACAATATATAATTCAGCAACCTAACCAACAACATATAACTCAATTCCTGTAACTCAAATTCAAACTTTGTGTATGGGAAAAAATAACAAAAAAGATAAATATACTAAATATAGTGAATCAGGTGATGAAGATTAATCATGGAAAAACTTTCTGATTATTATACAAAATTTAAAAGTGATAAAAATTATTATTATTTAAAGAACCAAACTTAATATCAGGGTAAAAGTAAATATAAGGATTAAAGATCAAAGTTTCATTTCAGTACCGATATTAAAGAAGAGAATTTTGTGCTGTGAACAGAAAATATTATTTTTATAAACTAATTAATAATATTTTCATACATGATTATGTGGATTAGTTGTGATAAATATATATAAAAAGTAGAGGGTAAAGTGTATAAAAAATTAAAGTATTAATCTATGAAAAATGGTTTACACATATTGAATGTTGAAGAAATGAAAAGAGGTAAAAATCGATCCTGGGAACTGCTCCGAAGGACTAATGACCCTAATCTGGTGCTGTTCAAGTTGTAGTTCACTCACTCTCACTGACTTCAGTGTCCCACCAAAGGGAAAAAGGACCCACCCACGATAAATTATTAAATAAACCATGAAAGTCCTAATTAATTTTGACATGACATGATATATTTAGTAAAAAATTGAGGTGAAAAATGAACTGAGTGTGGCATGTAATAATTTTTTGTGATCAGAAGAACTACGAGATGCCGCCGGATTCAATGAAGGCATCGATCGGAGAGAGGTGGCCGACGACAACGGGTGTTCTACAAATGGGGCAATCGAAGTGAGAATAGAGCCACATGTCTATGCAAAGAACGTGGAAATAGTGTTTGCACTGTGGAAGCTTCCTCACTTCTTCTCCTTCCTCGTAAACCGATAAGCAAACGGGGCACTCAAAATCTTCCAACTCTTCTTTTTCTTTTGCCACCTCTTCTCTCTTGTACTTGAAGCTCGACAGCAACTGTCTCTGTCGGTTCTCCAAGCTCCTCGTTATCTCCGAAACCCCTTCAATTGTTGTTCCCACACCATTGGGACTCGACCCCGGAGGCTGCGACCGCGAGTGGCTGCGTTTCAGGAGGAAGACGTTGTACACGGCCAGCACTATGGCGGCGGTTCCCACCACCACAAGACCGTAGTACAACATGGGCATGCTGTTGTTGTTGTCGGAAGAGGAAGAGGGTGGAGGAGGAGATGAAACTGTGAAAGGGCTTTAGAACATCACCCATGTTACGATGATGATAGATAGGGTTTTGGTGAGAGATTGAGAGAGAAAGAAAGAAAAGAGAAAGAGAGATCACTGGTTGGAGAATATTATTTTGTAGACAACTAATCAACTAACTCACTGTACACCCTTATCTACCCAATATAGCCTTCTAATTTAGGAGATGTGATTATTGAGTTTTTTCTTTACCTACTTTCCAACTTTATATATCCCATTTCACCTATTATTCTTATTAATATAATAATAATACAAGCATTAACAAACATAATTTTTCCATAAAAAAATTAAAAATTTTCGTTATCATTTATCATTGACTATTTAATTTCTACTAATACCTTTAAAATAAATATAAACACGTGTCCATACTAGTATATTATATTTTTATGACTATTTCAAAGTAGAAAGAGACTTATTTTGAATGTACTCGAAGAGGTTTTTTTTTAATTTTATTTATAAAATAATGTTAAGCATGGTATTATTTTTATATATTTTTTCTTTTTTGTGAGTCGAGTGCATAATGTCGTGATGGAATATTAACTATTTTAGAGAAGACTAAGAGGAGAGACAAGGGAGTGTACTATGAGGGGGGCAGTGACCAGGAATTTGTAGATAAGTGTCCTGTCTCTCTTGCACGTTCTGTTTCTCTCTTTGCCTCCCCCTTTTTCCATGCCTCTTTTAGGGTAAAACCTAAATTATATTTTTGCAAATTATTATTACTACCACTAATTCGTTTAGGTGAGAATAATAGATTTAAACATGCTTTTATTCTCTAAATTTTCACTAAAAATTCGTTTTATGCAATTTTTTTAGATGTTAAATTGTTTTATATTACACATATATATTTTAATTAAATTTAAAAAAATATATTTATTTATTTTTAAAATTTGAATGTTAAAATGTATTAAAATTTCAGAAACAAATGAATTTTAGTTTGAGTAAAAAATTTAAATCCAGATAATAATTAGGAGTATTTCCATTATTATATTGAAATGAGGGGTTTGGGAATTAGGGCAAGTTGCAGTTGTTAGAAGGACTCTTGCCATCATCAATGGTGAGAAGGAGGGGCACTACAGAGTTTGAAAATAGTAAGGACAACAGCAGTGGACACTTTCCAATTTTTTCTCTCATCATATCAAAATTAATTTCGATAAAAAGGAATATTTCTCGTTTTCTCAACTGTTACAATATTTTGTTCCGTAGAATCATCATTAAGTTTAAAAAGAAAAATATCCACTCGACCAACAACGGTATCTTTATTTCCTTTCAGAGCCTACAAATCTTTTACTTCTTTAACCTTGGTTATTCTGTCACTTATTTGCTGCTGCTCAACAGATATGATTATTAAAAATAAAATATTTACAAACCTTAATATTCCATGTATATACCATTTCCAAACCTTGTTCTTATGAAATATAACCTTCGCTGCGTATACTCTACATCCCAAGATTTTTGGTACCGATTGTCTGTTGATCCAGAGCCAAACATTCCAGCAATAATTGTTCGCTTGAGTACGAAAATAGTAGCAACCATAAATGTTTGCTTTTAATTTCAGCCTCTCAAAATTACTAATGCAAGTTAATGTAGAAATGAAAAACAAATTTTTTCTTTGGATTAGACAAAGAAAAATATTGTTAATTATTTTTCTGTAAAGAAAAAACAAAATTACGTAAACAATAATATTCTTTTAAAATAAGGAATTTATGAATTTAACTTCATTATTAATACTCTTTTTTTAATGGTGAATATACTCGTCTGAATTGATTACTAAGACCGAATATTCTTTTTAATCGGGTAAGTTTTTTTTTTTCAAAATTCATTTAAAAAATATAACATAAACCGAAATCAAAAATTGATTATATGCTTTTCACCCTACAACTTTTAAAATAATAAGTTTTACTAATTTTGTTATCCTAATTTCAATTTTTGCCTATTTACATGAGATCACACCTGTGAATCTTAAAACAAATAAAGTGTATAAAATAAGCTCATTAATGTGAATTGTTTGTATAGGTAAATCCTAGATTATACAATTGTCGTATTGGATTTAAATGAATCGTTTTTATCTCAAACTCAACATTTAGAGTAAAGTTTTACATTATCTACAAAACAGAATATACATTTTCCTTTTCTTCTTCAAAAACTCGTTTTCTTCCCTCAATCTTTAGATCAAATATTTGCTTTTTGTGTGTTAATCTTCTTATTTGAAACGTTACAATAAATTCTTTAACTATCAATGTATTTTTACCAACAAAAATAAATCAATTGATAAAAAAGAATTTTCTAACAAATTTTATCGAAATTTTTTTACCAATAGAAATAAATATGTGATAATATCCATTAGTAAATTAGAATTTGAATTTCTAATAGAAATATCCATCAATAAATATTTGTCCGTATATTTGCCTATAATTTTTCTCAATAATCATAATTATACTATCAACACAAATTTTCTTATGTCCCAGTAAGTTTAAAAGTTGATAAAATGGTGTACAATTTTTGTTTTGCTCTAATTTGATTATTTCATGGTAAAATTATTGGTAGCTAAATTGATTAAAATGTGTTGGTAAAATCATTCGGTAAAATAAAACTTTGATTACCAAACAAAAAGAATTGTAGATGAATTAAGTGACAAATTTCTTGACATTTATAAATTAATTAAAGACGTGTGAGAAAAAAAAAGGACAAAAAATAACTTATCAAACCAGAATCTGAAGAGCTGGGCAGGAGAAGAACAAGCATGAGTAGAGGCGAGCGAGTAATGGGACAACAAACGGTGCCATTGAAATGGAAATCGTGCAATGGGAGGCAGTTGAATGATGATAACTGTGGATGGTGGTACAAGAGTAAAAAAGAACAAAGTGGGAGAAAAACAAAATAGTAGAAAGAAGGAACCCGTGAAAACGAATCGAAAGAGCTAGTGAAGACGAAGTCGAAAGAGCCAACATAAACGAAGTCGAAGGAACCAATTATGGTGATGACAACTTTGTCGAAGAAAGAAGGAGAAAAGAAAAAAAAATGAAAAAGAAAAAAGAAGAAACTAAATCACAATATTTATTAACAAGTTATACCAATAGATTTTATCACCAGACAAATTTATTGTTAATTATCACAAATATTTATCAACTATTTTTTTATTAATAATTACTGACAAATTTTTTAACATCAATAATTACTAATAAATATTTTATTGATTAATAAAATTTATCAATAAATTTTTTAACAACTATTTTTATATTATTGATAATTTTAATTACCAACATATTTTGAAATTACCATATAATTTTCAGAGTGAATAAATGGATCCCTCGTTAATTTTCTTCATACACCTACTTTAACTTAATAGCACCATTTATAAAAATGTTTGATGGATATATATATATATATATATATATATATGTATGGGATTTGCTAACGCGCGTATGTCCGTTGATACATTTTAGCAATGTGTATCAGGTTTTAGTAAACAAAAATATCCTTATATATTATGGATTTTAAGTTTTACGGTTAAGTGTATTTTAATAATTTTCATTCTCAACACTAAAAAAAGAAACCCGATCAGAAACATTGACGGTTAAACAATCTTACAAAAAATGATTTTATAATGAGTTTTCATTTTATAATTTGTCTTATCTAATTTTATCCAATTTTCACAAGCATAAAAAAATTGGTAATTGACCTGGAAAAAATCAGAAATACTCGTTGTTAAACAATTTCTTAAAAAAATGATTTTATAATAAGTTTTCATTTTATAATTTTTGTCTATCTAATTTTATCTAATTTTCACAAGCATAATGACATCAAAGGAATTGGCAATTAGCCTTGAAAAAAAATCAGAAACACTCGTTAAACAATTTCTTCCAAAAAGTGATTTTATAATGAATTTTCATTTTATAATTTTTGTCGTATATAATTTTATCTAATTTTCACAAGCATAATAACATCCGAATGAATTGGTAATTGGCCTTTTTTTAGAGATGATGATTCAACATATGCAGATAATGAAATTAGAGAGGTTAGTGAAGATGGTGAAATTGAAGAGATCTTGAATGAACCTTTGCCTGAAGCTGCTGAATATGTCAATGACTCAACTCTTTACAAAGACAAATTGTTTAACGACAAATGTTTCTAATTTTTTCAATTGGGGTTACAATATGGATGACAGAAAAAAGGTTAGAGGGAGAGAGATGAAAAAGAAAGAGTTGAGAGGAATGAAAGAGGTGAGTAAGCGTTTAGAGTTTTTTTTAGTTTTGAGAATGAAAATTATTAAAATACCATTAACCTTAAAACTTAGAATCCATGATATATAAGGGTATTTTTGTCTACTAAAATCCGGTACACATTGCTAAAATGTACCAACTG